TTTTCAGTGACTAAATATTCGGAAGTAGTTCATCACTCCTTCTTAGTCTGTCTTCGTCTGGAAGCTCATCTGAAACCTGTCCACCATGGGTGACCCTGTTAGTATTTAAAATACCCGTGTCACAGCTTACAGAATCACAGCAACTCATAAGCCACCACAGTACAACAAACTGACAGACAAGTGGTGGGAATTAGGTAATAGATTTATGGAAAAGAAAATTTTGTTTTAACTGTATCAACTAACCTAATTTAACAAACAAAACAATCCAACTGCTGTCAATTCTAACTCATGGCAACCCTGTGTATTTAGAGTAGGGTTTCCAATGGCTGTGAGCTTTCAGAAATAAATCGCCAGGTCTTTCTTCCTATGTGTCTCTGAAAGAGTTCCAACCACTGGCATTTCTGTAACTAGTTTAATTGCTTGTAACACCCAGACATTGTACTTAAGACAACAATTGCTAGATATTGACACTATGAAACTCATTTCAAAGTATTAAAAAATGCACATAATTAGCATGAGATTGTCTGAAATACTGTATGTAATAAATCACATTTTAAAAGCCTCTACATTATTAATTTGAATTACTTATGAGGAGAGATTTAGGGGAGGTGAGATACAAAGGTACTTCAAAACTTCATGATAAACTTCCATTATTTTCTTGCCCCATTTTTCATGAACTATTTGAAACCTTCTCATATGAAGACAACCATAACATGAGGCAAGATGAGGTAAGCAACATAAAATTTGCATAAAGTATTTAAAATAATTCAAAAGCAAAGAAAACAGTTTTGGTTAGGATTATCAGAAAAGCAAGGAAAATATTCTAAGTCAAATATAATAAAATTCTATTTGTAGTCATTTAATTTTACTTGTTGTTGTTGGTTTTTTGCTTTCATTTTATTTTTTATGATTTTATAAAATTATAACTGAATCTACTTCTTCTTCTTCTTTATAATGTATAAAGCACTGAGAATATAAGATACATAATCTTTATTAACAATTTAACTGTGCAAGACAAGTGTGTCCCTAGAGGAGTTTACATATGTAGAAAATAAAAGGTGTACCTTTCCCTCATCCATTGGATTATCACTTATATGGACAATAGGTCCCGGGTGAGCTTTAGATGACCTAAAAAAGAAAAAGTTAATAAGCTGTGAAAAATTAACATATGCATATGATTTAGAGTTTACAAACTTTAGAGCTACTAAAAATGTCAATACTAGTATAAATTCACAGCAATAAGAATAAATGAATGAAAACAAGGATAATTTATGAAAAATGAAAACATTCCAGTAAATGATAAATAACAGGCATATAGTTCTTCTTGTTGTTGTTGTAGTTGTTATGTGCCATGGAGTGGGTTCTGACTCATAGCGACCCGGTACAGGGTTTCCAAGGCTGAAAATCTTTACGGGAGCAGAAAGTCTCATCTTAATACATATCAAAATAGCAGCGGGAGGGTGGGGGGTGGGGGGTGGTGGTGGTGGGGGTAAGTAAGTCATGTTGATACAAGCCAAGAAAATTTACAATTAGAAAACACTTTCTGTAAAGGAAGGAGTCTTGTGTTTAAGTTTTCAGCACTGAAAAATCTGTTCTAATGGTACAACTGTCAGAGATTTTCAAATGATGTCACGTTTAAATATTGATGTTTTACTCAATTCTAGCTTCCAATGGGGTATGGGAGTCCTGGTGTGTGCTGTAGGAGAAGCATTAGATTGTAACGTTGATTGAACCACAAGATTGGTGGTTCAAATTCACCAGCCACTCCTTGGAAACCGTATATAGAGTTGCTATGGATTGGAAAAAAAGGAGCTCTGGTAGCATAGTGGTTACAAATCAGCCTGCTAATTTCACGGTCAGCAGTTTGAAACTACCAGCGCTTCCAAGGGAGAAAGATGAGGCTTTCTGCTCCCGTAAAGATTTACAGCTTCAGAAACCCATGCCGAGTCACTATGACTCGGAATTGATTCCAAGGCACAAAACCAACCAACTATGGGTTGGAAAAAGCTTGACAGCACTTAACAACAACAACAGTGTATGCATCCAGTTCCATAGCTCATATCACAAAGAGCAGGAATCCTAATTTATTAATACAAACAAGCTACATAAGCAATGCCACTTATACTGGCCCAGAGAAAAATTAACCCTATAGATAAGAATATACTCGATCTGAAGCCTATACAATAGGAATGAGCATAGCCCTATTCTTCCACTTTTAGGGTTGAGAGACCACCCCATTTCATGAAAGCTATCTGCAAATTTAGAATCATCCATACAACAGGCCTTCAGCATGCCCACTTGCATACAGAAGGCCTGGTGGAGGTCATTCGCTAGATGTTACGATAAACTCAAACAGATCATGAAACTCACACAAGAGAGGATTGGTTGTATGATGATGTTATTCCTGGCACGATAAGGAAAATCTGGCTTTACAAACTATTATAGTTGTACCAACACATTAAGAAACATGACGTTTAAATATACTATGAAGCATGCCTAAAAACAAACAAACAGCAAAAGACCAAGTAGATAAGTGGGACATCATAAACATTAGATACTGGGCATTAAAAGATTTTACCAAAAGAATAAAAAAAGAGGACCCACAAACTGGGAAATAAAATTTGGTAATGGCAACTCACACAAAGGACTAATCTCTAAAGTTACAGAAAACTTCAACACCTTAAAAAGAAAAAGAAAATAATTTTTAAATTTGGCAGAGGATAAGAACACATTCATGTAGCCAACAAATGTGAAGAAATGCTTGCATTCATTAATCATTTGGTGATGGTGTTATTTTGGCCGTCATATCGGACTCACAGCAACACTGAATAGGGTTTCCAAGGAGTGGTTGGTAGGTTTGAACCAATGATATTGGGCTTCCTACAACACCATACCAGGATTCCATTAGCCATTAGAGAGATGCAAATCAAAACAACAATGAGGTATCTCATAACAGCATAAAAGTTTAAAAAAAAAAAATGCTAGTGAGGGTGTGGACAGACGAAGATCCTCCTACAAGGCTGACTGATGGGACCATCAAATGGTACAACCACTGCAGAAATGCGGTGTTGCTTCTTCAAAAAGTTGTAAGTAGAGATACCGTATAACACTGCAACTCCTCTACTTGGTACAGATCTTCAAGTTATAAGAGCAGGATACAAATCAATATATGCACACCCATGTTTATTTCAGCACTACTAATGACAAGAGCAAAAAGATGGAAACAACCTTAATGCTCACCAATGGGAGAATGGAGAAAGAAGCTTTGGTACAAACTTACAATGGAATACTACACAACACGGAAGACTAATACTGAATCTGTGAAAAACCTCAATATATGGATAAACCTGGAGGACATTAGGCTGAGTAAAATTGTTGTTGTTAGGTGCCATCGAGTTGGTACTGACTCACAGCGACCCTATGTACATCAGAAGGAAACACTGTCCAATCCTGGGCCAACCTCACAATCGTTGCTACATTTGAGCCCACTGACGCTGCCACTGTGCCAATTCATCTCGCTGGGGGTCTTCCTCTTTTTCTCCAACCCTCCCTTTACCAAACATGATATCCTTCTCCAGTGACTTGTCCCTCCTGACAATATGTCTGACGTATGAAAGATGAAGTCTGGCCATCCTGGCTTCCAAGGAGCACTCTGGCTGTACATATTCCAACCAAGATTATTTGTTCTTTTGGTAATTTGGGTTCTTTTGGTAATTTTGAATAAAACTAGTCATTCACAGAAAGGCAAATGGTATGAGATCCACTATTGTAAAAGGCAAGAAAAGGTTTTCATGCTAAAGTAGACATTCTTTCATGGTTACCGGGGGTGGGAAGGAAGTGAGTGTAATCTACTGGCTAGAGGCTACATATGTGTCCATCTGGGTGAAGGGGAGAGTACTATACAACCAGAAGAATGATGAAGACAAATGGAGGATTGTAAGAATTTAAGGAAAGAGGGTAAAATAATGTTATATATGCAATCCTGCAGCAACAGTGATCTACTCGTAGATACATGGGCAGATACACAGGCTGAATGGGTATGGAAGGAAGAGTGGGAGCCTACACACAAATATATAAGGTTTGATAGAGGACATCTGTACATGAGTATTTACCTTTGCTATAAGTATATCTATGAATGTAGTGGAGCACAAAGAAGGCAAAATTATGAAAAGCGCATACACATTATCAAACACCTTAGGGAATAAGTTGCCGAATCTGGAGGCTTAGAACCATAGTCTCAGAGGACACTACAGTCAACTGGCAAACCAAAGTCCACAGAGACAACATTCTACATCCTACTTTGGTGAGTAGCAATTGGAGTGTTAAAAGCCCATGAGTGATCATAGGTGAAACTATTGGTTTCTTCCTGCCTAGAGGAAAGAAGAGTGATGAAAGCTGAAGATGCCTGGAATCACTTAGTCCAATGGACTCATGGAAAACAGGAGTACCTGTGTCCATGACCCTGAAATCCGAAGAACTAGATGGTTGCTGGCCACTACTACCAACTTTTCTCAAAGAGGTCACATTAGAAGGTCTTGGGTCGGGTGGGGAAAAAAATGTCAATAAAGCACAAGTAAACATTTTTCAGTTATTACCAGCTTTCACCTACAATCCATCAGATGTCAGTTATGGTACCTTTAGTTCCAAATACTCTTCTGAAACTGGCTTGAATTTCTGGCAGCTCCCTGTTGATGCACCGCTACAAATGATTTTGAATTCTCTTCAGCATGTGGTATTAAAGATATTGTAAACTGAGCAACTGCCAGATTCAAAATGGTCAATAAGAGTTCATTTCAGCCCTCTAATCCTAGGATATTGATCTTTATGCATTCCATTTATTTTTCATGAATTCCAGTTTTCCAAGATTCTTAGTTCATATTTTCTGCATCCTTATTACATTAACAGATGCTTCCAGCTCTTTCTTTGCATTTTGAGTTGTGCCACAAAAGCAAATGAAGGTCCTGAGAGCTCTGTTCCACTCACGTCATTAATATCAACTTTACTTGGAAGAGGTAGCTCATAATTTGGGTGCCTTGGTGTGGCACTGTAGGACAAGCACTCGACTTCAAGGCTGGTTTGAACTGCATGGTCGGCAGTTCAAACTCACCAGCCACTCTTTGGAAAGCCTATACAGGGTCTCTATGAGTCAGAAGCAGCTCAACAGCACCTAACAACAACAATCCAACCTGAGGAGCTCATCTTCTGGCACTATATCTGACAATGTTTCGCTGATATTCATAAGGTTTTCTGGCTAAGCATTCAGAAATAGTCTCCTTCTCCTTCTTACTAGGCTGTGATAGTCTGGAAGCTCCACTGAAACCTGTCCACTCTGGGTGACCCTTTGACCCTGCTGGTATTTGAAATACAGGTGGCATAGCTTCCAGCATCACAGCATCACACAAGCCAGCAGAGGAGGACAAACTGACAGATGAGTAACCCACAGTAAGTTACAAAACCAGCACTCAGAGAAAAACAATTTCAATATAAATGAAGAGAAAAGATTAAGTATTTACACCTAGTAAGAAGTGTTTACTCAAACTGGTGTTATAGTTTATAGATCTATTAATACATGTGTATACAATGGTTATACATATGCAGATAGGGAGTGCGGTGGTTCTGGAGGATAAGCACTGGACTATGACCCACTAGGTGAATGATCTGAGTTCAGCAGGCTGTGCCTATGAAGATTTCGAGTCTCTGAATCCTTCTCCAGGCTCGCTGAGAGTAGGAACACCCACAGCAATGATATCATGACACTGTCATACACGGAAGTGTTTAATGTCTATGTGCTCAAACTCACAGTTCAATGGCTTTATTCCACATAATGACGTAGCCTGAGAGTGCGAAGGCCTCCACGTTGACAATATGAATATTCCCACGTTCAGTGCCAACATACAACCACTTACTCTGGAAAGGCAGATGGCAAAATGTGACCCTGCAAGAGAAAAGATATGCAAAAGAAATCAGAAAACTCCAGGGTAAATTTTATTAAATGCACTAGAGGGTTAATCATCACGCATATAATTTAGAAAAAGAATAAACTTATAGAGAGCTATCAGATTTATCAACCTGTGGACACAAAATGATCATGAGAGCTTATTATGAAACAGCTTAATACTAAGACATTTTGAGAAAACAGAAAACTGCATTGGTGAGAAAAAGCCCAGAAAAAGTGCTGAGGATTTTTTTTTTTTTTTTCTCATTACAAAAATACACCTGCCCATTTTTTGAGGGTAGTAAGGGTTTCCTACCAAAATATCGGAGTTCTGGTGTGGCACTGTAGGATAAGCACTTGACTATAAGATCGGTTTGAACCGCAAGGTAGGCAGTTCAAACCCACCAGCAGCTCCTTGGAAACCCTATACAGGGTCGCTGTGACTTGGGACAGACTTGATGCTACTTAACAACCCCCAGAAATTTATTGGAAACCTAATTCCAAGCACTCTAAGGCTCTGATCTTATCCCTTCAAGCTTCCCGAAATTCAATGAACATTTAGAAAAAGTACAGTTTGAATCCCTCCAGGAGAACAAAACTCCATTCTGAAGTGGTGAACATCAAAGAGAATTGGATTCTTGGATTCACTAATGCACAGCTCTAAATGAAGGATATGTCAACAATCAATCACTTTACATTTTGATATTTCTGTTTATCATAATTTACCCTTCAAATGCAAGAGGAATTCAACAAGTTTGTGGAAAAACTGAGTAAAATGATAATGGAATCTTTCAATAAACTTTTGAAGATACACTGTCATCGCAATGCTGCATGTGTGTGTGTTATATATACTCTATTATTTACACACACACACACACACACATACATATACGCACATGTATGATGTATTATTGTTACATGTTACTGAGTTGGTACTAACTCATAGTGACCGTTATGCACAACAGAACAAAGCACTGCCTGCCTGGTTCTCCACCAACCCCACAATCTTTGCTACGCTTCAGCCCATTGCTGCTGTCACGGTGCCAATCCATCTCTTTGGGGTTCTTCCTCCATTTTGCTGACCTTCCGCTTTATTTAGCATGCTGTTCTTCTCTAGGGACTGGTGCCTCATGACAATATGTCCAAAGTCTGAGAGACTAAGTCTGTCCACCTTGACTTTTAAGGAGCACTGTGGCTGTACTTCCTCCAATACGTGTTGGTTCTTTGGGCAGTCCGTGGTATTTGTAATATTCTCCTCCAACACCATATAACTCAAATGTATCAATTCTTCTGTGGTCTTCCTTATTCATTAACCAACCTTCACATGCATATGCGGTTGTTGAAAATACCATGATTTGGGTCAAGTGCACCTTAGTCCTCAAAGTGACATCTTGCTCCTGAACACTTTGAAGAAGGCTTGTGCAGCAGGTTTGCCTAATGCAATAAATCATTTGATTTCTTGACTGCTGTTTCTATGAGTGTTGATAATTGATCTGAGCAAACTGAAGTCTTTGACAACTTTACTATTTTCTCAAAGGAACAAACAGATCTGTGTTGGAAGAAGTGCAGCCAGAGTGCTCCTTGGAGGCCAGGGTGGCCAAACTTCGTTTCTCATACTTTGGACATCTTGTCAGGAGGGACCAGTCGCTGGAGGAAGATATCATGTTTGATAAGGTGGAGGGTCAGATAAAAAGAGGAAGACCCCCAACGAGATGGATTGGTAATATGGCAGCATCAATGGGCTCAAGCGTGGCAACAATTGTGAGGTTGGCCCAGGACCAGGCAGTGTTTCATTGTGTTGTGCATAGGGTTGCTATGAGTCGGCACCGACTCGATGGCACCTAACAACAACAACAACAACATATGGATGTTATTTATTCGTCAAGTGGTGAGGATTTTTGTTTTCCTTACAATAAAGTACAATCCATACCAAAGGCTGTGGCCTTAGATCTTCATTAGTATTTTAAGTCCTTTTAGTTTTCAGCCAGCAGAGCAGTACCATCTGTATACCGCAGATTGTTAA